TGTTCCCTCGGATTCATTTGGCCCAAAGCACCTAAATCACTTATTTTCTCTGCTTTCCCTTCACCCTATCTTCCACACCCCCTCCCCCGCCCCCCAAAAAACCCCCTCCAGTCCAAGCTCAGCCATAGAAAGTTCTGTTGTTCTAATCATCCCCTCTAGACTGATGAATGGGTCAAGTCCCTCCCCCTCCCCCTACAAAGAAGCACACCTCCTTGTTTACACTTTGCTAACAGTTCCTGGTTGTCCTGTCAGGAAATGTCAATGACCTTTTTGTGATAGACTTCGAATCTGTTTTCCTAGTGTTAACATAATACATTTTACGTTTGCCATGACCATTTCTCTTCCTTCCCCCACTGCTGCATCCGGGTGCCACATTCTCCCTGACCCGGCTATGTGTGGGCCTACATGGCACCCAACTGTGTTGGGAATTATCTTTGTCCAGGCTCCTGGGGTCATTGTAAGAAATCACCGGGTGATCAAGCACTAGGTTCTACAAGATAAGTGATATATATATGATATAGAGTGATAAGCAGCTGTCTCTTGTATCCCCCAAAGTGCCTACCATAATGCCTTGTATTTGGGTAAAGGAAATATTTGCTAGTGGGAGATGAAGATAAGGAGTGGGATCACTGGGCTCATAAGGTTGGAGAGGTCTGCTCTGGCTAGACCTCAGAAGGCCTGGCCTTTTGAGGGGGAAGGGCCTAGGGATTAAGGTGAGTAAGATCTAGGGAAAGAATATAAAAGGCTGTCTGGACTTCAAAACAAAACAAGGCCATTAGTAAGAGAGGCTTTAGGAGAGAAAACTGGAATATCTCTGAAATGTGATTAGAAGAGAGTCTTCAGGGCAGATCAGGTTTAAGAGCTGTTGTTTGCCATGTAGTTACAAAGCCTTGCTTTTGGATTTCGCTGCTCTAATCTTTCCTTGGGGCATCAGTCCTCTTTGATACTGTCTTTTAAAGGAGTATTTTGAGACCCTTTACTTAAAAGTCTAGCGGCAGAATTGCTGAAAATGTCTTCAGTTGTAGCCTTCGGTGTCCTGTCCTTTGTTAGAATCCCACAATCGGTAATTTGTCATCTAAAGGGGCTGCCGCTCTTCACTGTTCACCCCGGGCTGTGTCACCTGTCCCCCCTCCCCCGCCTCCGTGGCATACACGTACACGAACACGACACTGCCGTTCTTCTAGACTCGCAGGGACACCTTCATTTTGTGGGTGCACCTGTAAGCCTGAATTTTCTCTAGGGTTTCCATTTGGTAAGCTGTGTGATCTCTGCCTTCCCTCTTTGCTTTCCTGATGGCATCAACCAGGACCCTCTTCTTCTGGAGTTACTTTTATTTTCATATCTTGATTTGCCCATTTTTTTTTTTTCAGGGGAGTAAAAGTCTGAAGAGCCTCATCAGCGGAGACTGTCTTTCCTGCATATGCCTATATGCTCTTTCACGTGCTGGTCCCAGGGGCTGGTTTATTCGTTGTGGTTTGGCCAGTTTTGTTTTCATCCGATGAGTGCCGTTGGTCTAGACCAGAGTAAAACTTAAGGGAAAAGGAAAGGGGAACCTGGCTTAGCGCCAAGTTTCCCTTGTGAGAACACTCCAGAGAGCAGTTGAGTGGGGGCAAGGAAGCCTTCTTGTCTACTGTAATCTCCACGGGGCTTCTGTGGGCACAACTAGACTCCCAGAGAGTTAACAGAACACACAGAGCTGCCGCAAAAGCACTACTACAGGATAGATGTTCCTGACTCATGCCAATCTTATATTCATTGTTGAGCCTGACTTCCTCCTGCTTCCTCGAAAGATCTAGAGCTGAGAAAACCTGGATTATCTCTTTTCCCAGCGATCTCTTCCTGAAAGAGAGGGGCCCTCTCCATCCCTACCACCACACTTTCTGTTGAGACGAAGAGGGGCAGGCAGGTGTAAAACAGTGGTAAAATAGGAAATGGCAAGTGGGCACATCTCTGAGTTCCCGGAAGTACCCCCCAGCCTGCAGGCTGAACACGGAACTGAGGCAAGGGAGAGATGGCTTCTGGATGGGCAGGCTCTGCCTTCCTCTCGAGAATGACAGGGAACACGACACATTCTTGACTCTCATTAAAAGCCTCCAAAATGGGCGCCTAGGTGGCTCAGTCGTTAAGCGTCTGCCTTCGGCTCAGGTCATGGTCCCAGGGTCCTGGGATTGAGCCCTGCGTGGAGCCCCGCATGGGGCTCCCTGCTCCATGGGAAGCCTGCTTCTCCCTCTCCCACTCCCCCTGCTTGTGTTCCCTCTCTCGCTGTCTCTCTCTGTCAAATAAATAAA